GCCCGGCGGCGCTGGCCCTCGTCACCCTCCTCAGCTTCGCCTCCCGCTTCCACCGCCTGCCGGAGCCGCCGCACGTCTGGTAGGGGCCGGGGGTGAGGCCTGTGCCCCGCCGGTGGGGCGCTGCCCCGGGGGCGGCGGGCCCGGGCCGAGCCCCTTACTGTGGGTGTGTGTCCGCCTCCTCCCGGGAAGAGCCGGCTGTCGCCCCCGAGGAGCCCGCTCAGGCTCCCCGGTCTCAAGCAGCCGCCCGCCCCTGCCTTTCCCGGCCGGGAGGGGGTCCGTGTGTGTCCCGGGCAGGCGGTGGGATCCTGGCGGTGGGGGGCACGGGGAACCACCGCGCTCTGTGCCCGGCCCGGCCCCGCTCCGCTGTCACCGCGGCACTCGGGAGGTGTTGCAGAGAGGGGGCCGGGTCTCGGGGGGGCGGGTTTGGGGATCGGTGGGTTGCAGGCTGACTTCTCAGCATCTCCTAAGCTCAGCCTGGAATCCGAAGGGCAGGCTAGAGGTGTTGGAGTGCTAATGTCAAACTCTTTTTAGAAGGAGCCTGCCTATTCTAGGCTGGAGCGCTCTCCCAGATTCCTCAGTGAGTTTAATGCATTGTCTCGTATAGAACATAAGGCAATAACCCTCTATGTGATGAAAAATATGAGTAAAAAGACATTCCTAGATTATTTTTTTACTGTCTTCAGCATTACAGCAGTTTGTTTAGTGGTTTGGGTTTAGTTTGTTTGTTTGTTTTTTTTCTAGTTGGGATGAAACTCATTTTGGGAAGATGGGAAGTTACTACATTAATCGGACCTTCTTCTTCGATGTCCACCCCCCTTTGGGGAAGGTAAACTGCTCCTCTGTTACATGCTTTAGAAGGCACGGGAGTGGGCGGACAGAAATCTTCACCATCCTTCTGGCTGAAGGATGATTCTATGTGATGAACACCAGTACCTTTCCTGACTGTTGTTGGCATCATGGTAATTTGCGTTCTCTATCCAGAGCCTCAACTAGCATCTTTTCTTCTGTATGAAGATGCTTTGAATATGGGAAAGCAAAACAGTTTGCATGCTGGGTGTCTGAAAGGCTTGACATTAAAAAATGAACATGGCGCTATGTGTTCTGGAGGAATGTTTAATAGAAGACTACAGTTAAAGGAACCAAAGAGTTCCTGATAGCTTGCGTGTAAATAAGATTCCTACCGCAAAGGACCCTGCAAGCCTTGACACGCTATTCTGTAATCAAAGAACTTACTCTAGCAACATGTGCAGCGTTGATGAAGGTACACTTTTCCTGCCTTGGAAGACTGTCTTCCTTTGAGGCTGAGTCTCCTTAAACTATAGGAGGAGGGAGCTATGGGAAAATCTACAGGGACAGGATTCTCTCTGCTAAGTCGCACACCTGGTATTTTTCTTGAGCTTGCAGTTGTCCTTATAGTCAGCAGCCTATAAAAATCTTCTATAAAAATCTTACCTGCTGCTGGCTTGGATGCTCCTTTCTCCAGTGTGATTTCCCTGACCAGTTTTTTCACCTTTCCTCCTCAGATGCTGATTGGACTTGCTGGCTACCTTAGTGGATATGATGGTACATTTCCTTTCCAAAAGCCAGGGGACAGATATGAGCAGCACAACTACATGGGCATGAGAGGGGTAAGGGGCTACAGGCTAGTATCAAGCTGGTTAATGCTCCTGTGCTTTTCGGTACACGGTGTTATGTCATAAGAACAGCTCTCCTGGATCAGATCAGAGGTCTGTTTGGCCTTATGCCTTGTCTTTAAGCTCCTTAGAAAGGCGTCAGTGGTTGTATTGCAAATAAGTCTTAATGTCTGGCTGTGAGAGGTCAGGTATGAAAGTAAGGTGATTACTGAGGCCAACCCTTGATGGTAATTAGTGGGACTACACTCCTGAGTGGGACAGAGATCTTGCCTGTTATGCAAAGGGAACATTGCTGAGCTTGGGATTCTGCTCACTCCATTGTGCATGGCTGCTCTGGTGGAGAGCCAAGGATGTCAAAAAGCCAGGATCATTCTCTGCCATATGCAGTTTGCCACCACCGGTGACAGTGAGCTGAGTAAGCTGATGGAGAGGGGGCTAGAGGGGAGTTATTATTCAGAGCAGTGTTCTATTGGAAGCTCTGGCTGTACTGCTCTCTAGGAGAACCAAGAGGCATAAAACTGACAGCAGATGACACAAAAAACCAAGCCAAAAAACCCTAGTGCCCAATTGCTAGTGCCTAGAAAGAAGGATAAAAACTGGGAAGGCGTATTTTTGTTGTTTACTTTCCAAGCCTCCTGGTTCTAGATTTCCCTATGCCAAAGGTGGGAGAAGTGCTAGAAGCAGACACTGAAGAGAAAAATTTTACTGTGATGCTGCTTTCTTTTATTTTGATTTCTGTTCTTCCTCCTCCAACTCATTTGGTAGGGGAGGTGTTACTGGTCTGCTAAAGATGTAAGGTAAAGGTGTATTTTGTTCTTAGGTTTCATATTCTAATAACTTGTTAAAATAAGTCGAGTATGGTCGATATGTACTGCACCTACTTGACATATCTTTTTGTGAGTATCTGATGTAGTCTAGCAAGAGAATGACCCTCTGTTGTTACTGACACCTCTAGAGACAGAACAGAGAGCAGCTGCCCTTCTCTGAACAGTATCTTTGTTCATTTGGCTTTTGTCTGATGTTCTCAGTGAGTCAATTCAGCTACAGCAACTGTTGTTGGTAGGTGGGTGTGGGTGCGTGTTCACCGTTATAACTTCTCTTGTGATCTTCTTTTCCTGCAGTTCTGTGCGTTCCTTGGCTCCTGCCTGGTTCCCTTCGCCTACCTCACAGTATTGGAACTGTCAAAGTCACTGCCAGCAGCCTTACTCACAGCTTTCATTCTTATTTTTGGTAGGTGTTCCTGCTACAGCAAAATTGAGCAGGTTAATTGTTCAGAGAATTTAATTTCTTTATTATCATGTGTTACCTAGCCAGGCGATATTTGGGTTAATGAGAGAGGTTCCCCCAAACCAAAGTAATTCTGATTTACATATATATGAGGCTTTTTAATTGGTGGTCCCTTTGAGAATTTTGCAGTCTTGTTTAGTTCATGGGTACTTCTGTTATAGCCATAGCCACAAAGGTGGACTACATTTCACCTCAATTTTAAGCATTTTTATCAGATGGATGGACAGGAATGATTTTGCCCACTAGTGAAATATTGATGTCTCCCCTATGAATTACAGGGGTATTTAAGGCCTGCTGCATTACTGTGGAAGAGTTCACAGTAAGAAATAAATACAGTTCCTTGTTGGATTGAGCCACGTGGAGAAATTAACATTGCAAATGAAGTTACCCAAATTGGGGTCTTGTGAGGACACACGGATATTGAGGCATGGAGACTTAATATATCTCAGTCATATTAATTTTTTATAGGTAACAACTGAAAGATGAATTCTCCTGTAGCATCCTCTGGCACCATGCTACTGCCTTAGTGGGTAGATCATTGCTGTCTGTAAACACTTTTAATCTGATTATCATAGCAGCACCTCCCAAATGGTGTTTCACAGATACTGTTGTAATGCCTGGTTTTTGGGAGAGTTTTTTTTTTTTTTTTTCATTTATTACCAAAGCAGAAGTTGAAATGTTCTGATCTGCTCCTGTTTCTAAAATTTCCCTTCTTCCCATTGTCTTGACTACACTGAGGAAACTGGCTTCCTGCAATATTTCTGGAACCTCGAGCCTTTTTGATGTTCTGTATGTCTGTTTGCAGATACAGGCTGTATTACTTTGTCGCAATATATTCTGCTGGACCCCATTCTGATGTTCTTCCTCATGGGAGCCGTTCTGAGTATGGTGAAATGTAACAGCTGTGCGGATAGGTAAGATAAAGATGATAATATTGTTAAACTATAGGTACCTAACTTTCACACAGATAAAGTACTAGAACATACCTACCACTTGGTAGCCTGGGTGAATGGCTGAGATGAGATTGTTTCAGGAAATTTGGAGGTGAAAATGGCTCATGGTAGGGGAGAGAAATTTTTATTAGAAGGGTTTGTGAAACTAGGGAGAAAGTATCATGGCAGGGGTAAACCAGGAGAGAGACTCCATTATATTATTTTAGCATGAAAGGAAATTTCAGCAGAAATAGTGTTTATGGAATGCAGATCTTGAAAATGAAGGTTAAAGCTTTTTAAAACTTGTCAGGAAAGAAAGCTAATATAGGGTGTTGTAGGTCAGAGAAGGAGGAATGAAGGACGGTTGGAGCCTGTTCAAGGCTTTATTCCTAAATGGCAAAAACATTATTTTATTATCTTGAACCAGTCGCTTTGTCTCCAGGCTGGAGAAACAAAGCTTATCTGTGACTTTCATCATATAAGCACTTATAAAATCCTGCTAGTTGAGGTAAATAGTGTAATTTGTTTGCTTTAGAGAAATTGGTACCAAAAATTTGAGAGAAATACAGCCAGGATGTTTCTGAATAAAGCAGTTAAGTTGCTCAGGATGTTTGCTGTAGACCCATCCAGAGGAGGGTGGTGATTTATAGGCATTTGAATATGCCAAAGGCTTCTTTGTGGCTGGGCTGTACAGAGTAGTTATCCCACAATGTATCCAGAATTCAGACATAACAGCTTGAAATACTGTGTAATATATGACCAATTTTTGTTTCATGGAATGTTCGAGAACTGATCGTGTAAGTCTTGATGTGACTGCAGCAAAAATGGGTAAAATGCATCCTCAGTGTGGTGTGGGGCCATCCTCATCTACAACACACACCCCTGGGAGCGCAAGCACTAAATTAGAGGGCAATGTTTGATTAGCTTTGTGTGCCTTGATCTGAACTTTTTTTTCATATCTTACAGCTAATCCTGTTTTCAAACTAGTTGATGTTATGCAAATTAAAAGCCTGTGCTAGCTATTGTGTGTGCTTAGCAGGTCACAGGGATTTTGTCTAGCCAAAATACAAGCGTCATCAGGAGTCAGCAGGAAAAGGGTTTTTAATTCTGTGATCATATTTTCTCATCTTTTCTCTGTGGTTCAATTTTAGATTAGTTTGCAGTTTGTTTGCTTTTTTTCTGCAGTTTCTGTTTGTGCTTTGGGTAGATGTTCTCCACTGTGGCCTTTCTTCTTTAGGAAAAATAACTTATCATTTTCTCCTGTTTTCCCCCATGTTGTTAACATTCGGTGAATTTTAAGTTTGCTTTTTATGGAGCAAAAGTCCTGTTTCTATTTTCAGACCTTCTATGTGTGAGACTTTCTTTGCACTAGTATTTGAGCTTATACCTGGTGTCTGTGTTCCCCTTCATTAAAGGGGAGATCTAGAGCTGCTCAGGCTTAAGTATTGGGCCGTCCTGTGTCAGGTTTATCCTTGAATCATTCTAAAATGAATGAAAAAAAATATCTTTCTATTCCTCATGGGCTCCTGAGAAGAAGATGGAATGTAGTTTTTTGGGGTAGCCAATTTGCTGTTTGCTTTCCAGATTGCAGATGCCCATTTAAGTAGCATCATTGTTTATATATTGGCCTCTTCTATCTGTCCTGCAGGCCATTTTCTGCCTTGTGGTGGTTCTGGCTGAGTCTGACTGGCGTGAACCTCGCTGGAGCAATGGGGGTGAAGTTTGTTGGCCTTTTTGTCGTCCTCTTGGTTGGCCTGAACACGATCTATGACCTATGGGACTTGCTGGGGAACCTCAGCCTGTCACTGGTGAGTGTCAAAAACTTTTACATTAGGGGTTTCTTTGTTTTGTTTTACTTTCTTTTGCCTTTGTAATTCTCCTAGTTATTGTCAGCTATGAAACTAACCAAACAGTGATACAGTCTGTAAGAAACAGGGGCATCTGAGGTGGATGATGATCATGATTAAAGGTGAAGGTTATAATGGAAAAACTATTGCCATATGTTTAAAAAAACCCACGTGTCAGCAAGATACAATATCCCAAGAGCAAAAAGGTTGTTGCTTTTTCTGGAGAGAGACTATCACCTTTCTAGTTGGATGAGTTTTATTTCAGTCTAGATTAAAAATGCTTTGGGAATGGCTCTACAATGGCCCAAAGCAAGATGTTGTCCAAGGCTGTTATGTGACCTTCTGAGGAGTATGAAGTACCCGGAGACATGCCCATCTGCCAGCCCCCAGTGTGCATGAGCAGCAGGAGCTCAGGCTCTGCTTCATGAGAGTACAGGGGCATGGGCCACGTGGTGGTAGCAGGCCATAGTCCATCCCGAGCCACAGGCATGCTCGGCAACTTGCAGTCCCCGTAGCGAGCCCTGAGGCTGATAGCCTGCTTCATTTTACGCACATTTTGTTCATATAAGCTCTAAGGAATTTGCTAGTGTGTTTGGGTGGCCTGTTCTAATATATTGCATTTCATAATTGGGGACTGTGAAATATAATATTTGGAGAAATACCTTGATGTACCATTTGCTCTCTTGCAGCCAGCAGGAAAACAAATTCTTCAAGCACACATTTTAAAAGGTGTTCAGTTCTCTTGTCTCAGCCTCTGCTGAAGCCTGAAAATTCTATATCTTTCATTTACTGGTTTTGTCCTATTTGTCTCAAAAACAGTGGGGGTTTGGGGGGACTTTTCTATTCCTGCTGTGTGATTTGTTTTCTCTGATTAATGTGAATCAATATGGGCTGCAAAGATGCAATGTTCCAGCTCTGGAGAAGCGTTTCTTGAGCAAAGTCAGTTAATTGCATTTGAAATGGAACAAATCCATCATGTCTAAGCTTTCTGCCAGCAGACAGCTGCACAGTGATTTCATTTGTGCTGCTGGCAGCGAAGGCAGCAAGCCCCTGAGTGTTAGAATATGTAAAGAAATTTACTCCAGAAGGTAGATGCTTTCTGAATAACTAACTATTTGGCAACCTTGGCGCTTGAGGAAAGGAAAAAAAAAAAAGAATGAGGATTAAACTCCTGAATAACTTATCTCTGCATTTGTTAGGAAACTAATCGTGATAATTTACTTGCAAAGTTTTGAGGACTAATTTGATTTCTAGAAATCTCAGCTTATCTTGGTCCACTGTTCTGGTTTGCTTGAAGCTGCCCTTCATGTGCATTTTCTTTTTTGACTTTGCATTGAAGTCTGTAGTTAAAGAAAACCTTTTCACAAAGATTGAAGCATCTTGTGGTCATTCTGAGCAGGGAACTGGAGATTAGTTCATATGATTCTCTGCTGCATAAATCTGGTTATGTACCATCAATCAGCATTTTTCCAAGTGCCCAGTGGTGTTCTGCTCAAGTACTTGAGCTGAGCAACCGTTTCCTTTGTTGACTCCAGTAAGTTTGTAGTTTTGTAATGTCTTCATCTCTGTTTCCATTATTTCTGAAGTGCTTGGATCTGTTATTAAGGGATGGAGGATGAGTAGCTTAATGATTGTATGATAGGAACCAAGTAAAAAAAATATACGGAAGATAGCAAGTACATCTGCCTTCATCTGCTTTGAAGCTAGATGTGGACATTTAGCTGTGAGAACCCTGCAGAAAAACAGGATGTCTCCAAGCTCACTTGCTGCAAAATATTTGCCACCTGTGTACATGATAAGTACATTATATGTGTACATTAGTGAACAATTTTTGCTATTTAAGGTGTTTTCTTCTCCCACAGCTGTTTAGTACCCAGCCTGTATTCTACATTACTTATCCTACTGACACTGCTGGTAGTAGTGTGTGAATACGTAATTGCATCTTGGGCACCTGTGTACAAACCACCTTTCAAAGTGATTTAAATAAAATACTCTGCTTTTGTGCTGAGCCAGCTTGAAGCACAGGTTTTGCTGCTGACTTTTTTGGATCTTCTGGCTGAGGAGCAGCAACAGAAGTTGCAGTGTGAGAACATCCTTGTTAAGTGAATTGGTTTCTGCGAATGCAGCATATATAGGTCCCCAAGAAGTCTTTGTAACAGTCCTATTTGCATGGGGACACTTGTTGAGAGAATTATACCTGGTAGCTCATGCCCTCATGTTTCCATTTTCCCTTTTGCTTAGCTTTGACAGTTACTATTCTGGAAGACATCTCCTTGTTGTGGTTTTGTGTTAAGATGTGTACCACTCTGATAAACAGGTTAAGGTCCTTGTTTCCAAAGTACTGTCAATGGAAGCTGCCCAACCTCCTTTGCTAAGTTAGTCATGCCCAACATTTTTGAAAGTTAAACCCTCCTTTTGCTTGTTTTTGTCTCCTCCCAAGACCCTGAAATTTCAAGGTACCCCAGCTCCAGCTTCTGGAGATGCACAACAAGGTCTGCCTAAACTTTTACTGCTCCCTATCCCTTTTTGAGATAATTTTGCACCCTGTTGGGCTTGCTTGGATGGTGGGCTTCTGCTATAGGACCACTGCTCAATAAAGAGTGGAGGTACTCTTGGAGCTGCACTGTTTGATCCACATTGTGTCTGTTACAGGTCATGTTTGGGAAGCATTTACTGGCTCGTGTACTCTGCCTCATCCTGCTCCCGCTTGCCCTCTACGTGGCTATGTTTGCTGTTCATTTTACAGTATTAAATAAAAGGTATTTCATAATGTTTTCTCCAGAAGAAGAATAATTTGTCTTTGCTTTGAATTAAAGGGTATTGATAATTAATTTCTCCATTTTCAGTGTCAGAAGCAGAGCCACAAGCTCTGTCTTTGTTTAATTCCCTTCCCAGATTCCTACATTGTTTTTAGAGAAAGGCTCTGGCCAAGCTGGCAGAGAAACCGAGTCCAAGCTTAAGATTTGCTGAAATGTATCCTATGCAAGTATACTAACTGAACTCTCTTTTTTTTTTTTCTTCCTCTCTTTCCTGGACCTGAAAATGTCTCAACTCCATTCTTTTTATTTTTGTTTTTGCAATTAAAAAAGAAACAAAGGCATTGCATTCCTGAAAAATGTTTTGGCTGTCATTTAAAAAAAGAAAAAAAAAAAAGTCAAAAAAGTTTGATTTTGCCCCAAGGGAGGACTCTTCCCTGAATGCATGCAACCAAGGGATGCTTTTTATGTGGAAAGAGCACAACAGCTAGTAAAATGGCCAAGAAATGTTTTTCCATATGCCAGCATTAAGAGATGAGGTGAATAAGCATTTCAGCAGGAAAAAGAGACTATAAAATTAAATCTGTTATTTTTCGGTTTAAGCCAATTGGTTTCACCGCTACGCTCTTAACAGAAATGAGACTTCAGGAGGCAGAGAGAGAGGCTTTATTATATCTAACCTGACAGTGGGTTAGTTTATTTGTCATAAGAACGCCTCCAAAGGCACTTTGCGCAGTGTCAGTGGGTACATTTTTTTGACCTCAAGTCCTTGCAGCTCTGGACAATTTCCTGCAAGACTGTCTCTATCTGCTGTGACAGAGGTGTGTGCATCTAAGTGAACTACGGTCATTCTTCTCCTGATGCCATGTCTGGTTTTATCTTTTGCTTTCTGCAAAAACAATTTGGTAATGCATGATAGAACTTTGTGTGCCTGTTTTGCCAGACTTTGAATGATCACATCCTTTGCTCTCTTTTGTAGTGGTCCTGGGGACGGTTTCTTCAGTTCAGCATTTCAGTCCCAGCTCATTGGGAACAATCTTCATAATGTCTCCGTTCCAGAGTGTGAGTGTCCAAAGAAATAAACTACTTTGAGTGTTGTGAATGTACGTGAGGGTTTAAATAAAACCGGCATCTCCTGTGAGTCAGTGCAGGACCATGCAGGTCATGCCTTCATGGTCAGATCCGTGCTCTTCCTCTGTGCAGTTTTATATATTGACAGAAAAGAAAAAAGGCTGAAAATAGCACCATATTTAGTGCAAGCTCACTAGATGTTTCATCACGTTCCTTCTAGAGGGAAAGATACCATTTTGAGGCATTTGATGGTTTTGTGTGCACACATCTTTATATTTTTTGGCTTTTATGTTGCTTGAGACAACAAAAAGAGATTTATCCTGTTCACCTTAGGTTTGTAGGTGTTCAGAAGTGGGATTTGTTTCCAAAATGAGTGTAAATGAAAACCATCAACTCCTTTGTGACGTGGCATGGCCCTGGTTCAGCTGTATTGTATTCAAGTGTCCATATGAATTTAGGGGAAAGATGGCTCTATGGTTGTTCCCTAATCCTCAGGTTGGCTAGGGACTGTCACGCCTTTAGTATGGTTTAGTTTTCCGTTTACTTCACCTTTTCTGTGGCTGTTCCCTGCTGCAGAGCTGCTACTGGGAGAGTATCAAGTACATTCTCCAAGACTGTGTTCTCCCACTTGTGTTGGGAGGCTATGGAGGAAGGTGTCTGAAGGCAGGGTATCAGCTACCCTATCTGAGAGCTGAGCTTCCCTCTTGTGTTGCTGGAGGGGTTGGGCAATGGGGTGCTTCAGAGTAGTCACATGCTTTTCAAACTTGATCATGTTTTAATTTGACCATATACTCTTAGGGAAAGCTATCTCAAACCTCTCATTGAAATTACATACAAAAGAACTAGCACTTCTGTTTATGTTAGAAGTAGGTGGGAGAATTTTAAGTGTTTCAGCCAAATGTTATATAACGATTTTACTGAATGGTTGTTGGGGATGGAAGATAAGCTTGCAATGAGCTGTGTGTAGTAACATGTCAAGCAGGAATTGAGCTTTCATCTAAACAATGCAAGAGAATGCATGCCTAATCGGAGCACTGCAGACTAGCTGGGGGAAGTATTTATAGGAGAGCTGCCTTATGCCTTTTTTCCACCTTCCTTCTTCCCGTGTAGACTTGGCATATGGGTCTGTGGTCACAATGAAGAACCTTCGGATGGCAGGGGGATACCTTCACTCCCACTGGCACCTCTACCCGGAGGGCATTGGGGCTCGCCAGCAGCAGGTGAGTGTATGGTGGTGGTAGTGCCTCTGACTACGGCCATCCACTTGTCCCCATTGTGCTTGGCATTAGGTGCTGTTGTGACAGGAGCTGTGTATTAACTCGGCATCTGTTACAGCTGGGCACTTGGCTCACATGTCTCAGTAAGGATGCTTGGAGAGAGCAGAGGGGTGGCGTACAGTAACAAGGCTTTGTTGTAGTAGCAAGACCACTCTCCATGGATGGAGGCCAAGAGGACCTAAAAACAATTTTCCATAATAAAGGACTTTTGTTACCTCAAGGAAGGCTGTACAACTTATGTTTAAAACAAACCAAATACATTATCTTACAAGTTTCACTGCTGTGTTTTAAAAGCAATAGAATAGAACAGGGCAGCTGTGTGTTGTTTTCACTCCTGACCTCTGTGACCTTACATGAATTATGCTCCTTTTGTGCCTCACTTTCCTCATTTAACACCGAAGAATTTGTAAGGCTTTGTTCATTAAATTAGGTATCTGTACATTTGTAAGCTATAATTAAACTATATGAACTCTCTAAGGACTTCTGATTAAATGATTAAGCAATAAATCAAAATAAAAATCAGAAATCGTGTAACTATGACTGATTAACTAGCACAAAAATTAAGTTAATTTCTTATTTTTGTACATCATCATCAAGCTTCATGAGTCTTTGCAGCTTCTGCTGCTTTCCCAAGATATATTTTGCAGTTTGCATGTTAGTGTCTAAAAATTGTTCTGAGCTCCTTCAAAGAAAGTTGCCAGAAAAAACCAAAAAGTTTGTTTTTTAACTCCCTTCAGTCTCTATGGTGAGGAAGAAGTTTTCAGAAATTAAAACTTTATCTCAATCTTCTTTTCCTGCTGTTATTCCCAACCAAAAGTTCTAATACTCTCATGTGACATTGATGTTTATTACCACAGATGGTCAGTGATTATTCAAAAGGTTCAGGTTTGGGTGCCCTGTTGTAGAAGGAGCCTCTGAAGTAGAGTGAGAGGAGGTCAAGCTGTGTGATTGGAGGCTGTTACTCATGATGCATGAGAACTGCCATTAGGTGTAGTGCTCCTGAGTGTACAGGCTGTACTCTGAATAAAAGGCATCATCTGGGTTAAGGAGTGGCCAGTAACTGGCTTTCTATGGGGCACTATCATAGAAGTCATCCCGGGGTTTTTATGTTATTGGTGAATTCATTTGGGACTTTGATTTGCTGGGAATGTGTGTCTGCTATCACCAGGTTTTTTTCTTGTTTGGTAAAATAATTTATCCTGTGCTTTCAGGTCACTGCCTACTTACATAAAGATTTGAATAACCTGTGGATTATAAAGAAACGTGATTCAGATGCAGGTAACAAATACCAGTAAAGTGCCTTTTATAATTTCTGCTTCAGATTTTCACTTAGAATGTTCTGAGTTCCCTCCAGGGCAAAGTGTTCTTCATGGATATGAGGGGGAGAGGAGGAGGAACAAAGGGAATCTGTCTCCATCTTGATTAATGCTGTTTGTGTCTACTGTGTTTTTAGTTTTTTCTCCAGATGGTACAGCTGAAGTAAATAAGCTTTTCTCAGCTGTAGGTTGCATTGACAACTTTTCAGCGAGGCAGGGCTACGAATAACAGAGAGGAAATTAATCTAGACTCAGTATTTTGTGGAATTTATTATTGTGGCTGTGGGTCCTGGAGGAGTTGGGTCCTGGTGTGTTCTCATACATTGCGTTCAACTGATTTGCATGGATGTTTGCTTGGGATGAGATAGAGTACTGAAGGGGAAAATCTGTGGTTTGTACGTGCATCTGTTGTTTTAGAATATCATAGAGCGTAGCTGAGGCATGTTTGGTGTGACAGAGTATCTTTCTTCACCTGCAGCATGTGTATATAAAAATTGACAAGAGCTGTCTAAACAACAAAAAATTCAAATAACCTAGATGCAACAAATTATGATCAGTGTTGCAAGAGTCATTTTATAGTTCGTGAAATAGTAAAAAAAGTAATACAGCTTTGTTCAGTGAGCCTGACCAGGCATCCTCCTTATTTAAGGGCAGCACGTGCTGCTTGGGGCCCTGTTCTTTGGAGTACCCCTCAGGGCTACTGGAGCAGTGGTTTGCATCAGGCTTAGAGTTAACACACATTAATTTGCCTTGTATTGTCTGCTTGAGGTGTGAGCATTCCCAAGAAACTTTATAAGACCGTGATGTGTTTATCAGTGCATCGATATGATTAGTTTGCCTTCCTTCAGCAGATCTGTCAGACCCCTCGAGCCCTGTGGAGTTCGTGAGGCATGGAGATATTATTCGGCTGGAACATAAAGAGTAAGGATGATTTCTGGGATTCCAAGAGATTGTGTGATTGAATAGAATTGGTGGGAGGTTTATCGTGCTGGAGACTCCATGCTTAGGCCAGCACAGGCAGGCTGTGTGACACAGGTGTCTGTATATCTGCATGTCCAGTGAGGAGTTTGTGGAGGTCTTCTTCATTAGAAGTAAGTACCTCCCTAAGCAGCAGAGGGATTTGTTCCTCTGTGTGAGGTGCAAGATTAAGGGTAACTCTGCTGCAAAGAAGCAATTTCAAAACCCTTGTTCTGTTGCTTGTCCCCACTCTCTGAGTTTTTCTCAGCAAATAGTGTGGGGTTTTTGTCAGTGTTGTGCCAGTGTCCTGTTGCTGTGTGCACAGGCAGTACCTGCCTGCTGAAGCTCTCAACTGCACCGGGAGCACAGCAGTGAAACACGTAACGAAAATGTCAGCTGGTGCCTTCCCTCTCTGTACAGAATACCTGAGAGGGAGCAGGGGAGCCCTAGTGACTTGATATTTAATCTTCACCTAGTCTAATGTCACTGTGCCACAATGCTCAGTGCTGTCGCAGCTTTGATTCCTTAACAGAAGCTTTTTTGAGCTTTTTTTTTTGAGTCTGTGAGCCTGGAAATCGTGTCATTGTTCGTTCAATACTGCATGGTCACAAATCACTGCTTGTGTTTCCGAAATGATTTTAATATTTAAAAAAAAAAAAAAGAAAGCCTTGAGTTTTGGGGTTTATGTGATAATGAAACGATAAAATCTTGATTAGGTAATGCTGGTTAGCTCTGTTTTGGGAGGTGGAGCTGTGGTGCTGCGGGGAAGGTCCAGCAGATGGCTCCTGTCTCCTTGGGATGGAGCCGCATCCTTCTGGGCAGAGGGTTCTGTCAGCTGGGGCTGGGCTGGATGCAGCTGTGTTGCTGGCGGGGCTGGTTCATTGTCTGAGTGGTTTTATCAAGGACTGACTAGGCTGTGGCCAGGTTTTTCTGCTTGCCCCAGCTGGCAGTCCCCGTTAGGATGGGAGGCTCCTCGTCCGCACGGTGTACAGCTGGGGCTAATGGGGGGCCACTCATCCTGCCCTCACTAAACCTCTGCCTGACTAAATGGTACAATCTTTCTCCTCAGAAGCAAAACTGACAACCAAGACAGGTCAGAATCTTGCTTTTCGTCTTGCAAGAGCAGGACTATTAGTCCCACCATTAAAAAACAAAAACAAAACCAACAATATCTTTTCCACTTGGAGGTGGCAGCTTGAGGGCTGGATTTATTCGTGGTGTCCTCCTTTCCCAGCACTGCCCAGGGTGCCATAAACTCCAAGTTGCATGGTAGGAAGGGGCAGTTTTGCCCCGTGGCCCCCATCGTAGTTAAGGTTGCACCTGCCCTGCCCCTGGCTGAGACTGAGCGATCAAAGCGCTGACAGCTCTCCAAATGGCTCGGACCAAAGTTCTTACCAGAAATTGACTGAGACATAAAAACAAAGCAAGGTTTGACTTTTAATTTCATTTCAGAACTTCTAGAAATCTTCACAGTCACCAGCACGAGGCTCCCCTGACAAGGAAGCACTTTCAGGTCACTGGCTATGGAATAGTAAGTGGATGGCAAGATAAAACAAAAGCTCTTTCTTTTGGGTGGAGTCCATACCATGCCAAGGGGATTTATTATTGCTTTTTTAGTTTGCTAGCCAAGGTGATAGATGTGCATCTACCTCACTGGAGGAAAAACTGATTTAGTATGAAATGGCTTATCTCGTATTTAAGGTCTATTTAATGTGAACACAGACAAGAAAATAACTTAAGCTTTGACTGCCAGTCTGGCTTTGGCAGTATTCAATTCCAGAAATGCCAAACTGAGCAACCTTGAAGTTGCTCTGACAAGTATTATTTTATGTATTTGGCCTTGTCACATAGACAAGTGCCTTTTTTTGACAAAATGATGACAGAATTTTGAATCACTAAAATGAAATCTGCTTTGAGGGCTGAATTTCCAAATGCAAGGGGCTGTTGCCTAAATCCTTTTTGTGAAGCATCCAAGTTATTCCCATTTAAAATGTAACTCTGAGCCACAGTCAACTATGAATTGGAAGCAAAAAAATTTATGGTTGGCAAGATAAAAATATATTTGTGAGTAGTTGCTCATGTCTAGAATCATCTCTTTCTGATGCGGAATCTCTTCTGTGAAGTCTGAGCGAAGGTGGCCTTGGCTCCTTTGTTTAGCTCTGCCACCATTAGAGTTTCAGAAGTTCTTATTTGCAGTGCTTCAATCCTGTATGTCTTCTAGTTGGGTTTGGGTTTTTTTTTTCTTTCTTTTTATTTTTTTTTTGGTATGTGTTTTGGTTTTGTTTTTTTGTTTTTCCTCCTATGGTATGTTTGCATGATAGAATGGAACGGGAGACTCCAATGATTTCTGGCGGATTGAAGTGGTGGGCAGAAAGGCTGGGAAGCTCATCAAAGTTCTACGGAGTCAGGTCCGGCTAACCCATGTGGCCACAGGGTGTATGTTGGGCTCTTCTGGAAAGACTCTTCCAAAATGGTAAATAGTTTGTAATCCCCGTCCACCCCAGCAAGGCTTTGAGCTCACACGTTCCTTTGCTCAATGGTGCTTTTAAACTAAGCAGTAACCACATTTCCTCCATTTCTTTATCTTTAAAAGAATAAAAAAGTAACTAGCAGGTACTAAAAATATAACCAGAGGGGAAGATTTGGGTTAGGGTTATGCAGTCTGTTACAGTGAAGGTATACAGCTCTGAAAAATAACATCCTTTATTAAGAGATCCAGAAGTGGCATGGGCATAGATCTTGTCATCTGGTAAGTCCAGGGGGGGATGACAGATGTGTTCTTCAAGCCCATTTTATCCTCGGGATTCACAAAAATTGCTAGAAACTGGAGCAGTTCATGCTGTTCCATACCATAATCCTGCAAATTTCTCTTTATTGGTATTAATTTCTTTTGCACACGGAAGACCTCCTGCCATTTTTGCGTGCAGCGTCTGAAGCAAGTGCAACAGTAACAAACTGCTATTAGCAGGGGTTGTGATTTAATCTGTCCTTGGATTACATATCCTCATCATTAAAATGAGGTATATGCAGAGACATCCAGACTCGTGCCAAGTAAGCTGCTGTATCTGCGAAGCGGTGCTGTGTGGGATGCTAGCGTGGATCCTGAAGCAGCAGGCTGCGCTGTCGTGTTGCTTCTGTTTCCAGAGCAGCCTCTGCTGCTGCTGGCTTAGGTTTCCCTTCGCTGTGCTGGGGTACAAAGGGCTTCTCAGGAGTCCTGTGGGTGCTGAATCACAGTGAGCACAGGCAGATGCCTCTGGTGATTGCCTGGTCAGGAATGCAAGTGCCATTTAGGCTTTAGCAGTAAAACTGGGCTCACAGGTAAATAACGGGATTGGTTTAAAAAAAATAAATCACTGTCTCTGTCAACAGCATTCAAGAAAGGGGGTGTATATATATTTTTTTTCTCCTTAACACAAACTCACCCTATGAATGGAATTTATTGTACAAAATATTAATGACATCAAGAGCTGAGAGTTAAAAATACTTGTTAACTGCAAATAAGGATGGTTAAAGTATGTTGGATTTTTATATTCTTGTTAGGGGAGTAATTGCTGTCCTTCAGAGAACTAAGTGGTAATTAATTAATAGAATTAATTAATTAGTGGAGTTAAGTCTGCTAAGTGGTGATTGATAGAAAAATCCTTATTAATTTGTCACATTACTGTAGGGTTTGAGGTACTTTCTCCCGAAGTGTTTGATGTGACCTGCTAGAAGTAGCATGGCAGACTAAATAAACAGTTGGTGGGATCCTCTAAAGTCATTCTTTTGTTTCTGGAATACAGTTCCTGTAGACATGGATTGACTTAAATTAACGATAGTGATTTTCTTCTGGAGAGAATGTAAGGGTTGACTTGAAGTAGTTTCTAGTTGTCAACGTGGATCATCTTCAAAAATCCCACTGCTTATATATGGACCTATGTTTTTTTAGTTTAGATGCCCAAAGTTAGAAATGTGGTCCAAATATCCGGTAGAATTTTAATCTTGGGTGCCTTGCAAATCTGTTTTGGTTTCTGCATGGTGCTTAGAGCATGTAAGAGTGTGTTAAGAATGCTGCTTCTGGGGTTGAGTGGTACGGTAGGTGTTGTGGGGAGGTATAAAGCTAAATGGGGGGGGGGGAAATCAGTCATGAACTGGAAATACTGAGCAATCTTTTGCAGGGTGGTGGCTAACTGCTCTGCTGTTCCCCAGGGGTTGGGAGCAAGTGGAAGTAACCTGCACGCCGTACCTGAAGGAGACTCCCAATTCCCTCTGGAACTTTGAAGATCACATTAACCCTAAGTGTAAGTAATTTATTTCCTTTTTCTCTGAGAGTGCGTCTTGACTTGCTGTTAAAGGAAGGGATGACCTGTTGGATGGCAAGAACTGGCATTCAGTGTTTGGAATTCGTGTGTTCTTTCCCAACCAAAGCACAAACTTGCTGAACTTGGGCCAGATGTTCAGAGATGCATAGCCTTTTTCTACTTCACTGTTTGTACTGTAAGCTGGTGATAATGCTTCAAGTGTAGTGGAAGTATAAAGACTTTTTTAAGGATTTTGAGAGCTTCATGGGTAATAAAAGTGTGAAATTTTATAGGCAATGCAGTACAGGGTGTTATTTTTAACATCATTTGGTTAATTGGAAATTATTGTCATCGATATGGGTATGTCAAATAGACTTTAATTGTTTTCTTAGAAAGCTAGGATACACCCTGTTCTGGGGTATTTTTTTTCCTCCTTTTACCAGGGGCGTGCTGAATAATGGCTTTGCAGTACCATCAAGAAATGAATAGAAGTGTGACAGGGAACTAAGTTTGCCAATAATGACAGATGGGCCTTGCAGCCTCATCCAGGAGTTAGATATGTGTCACAGCCTCACTTGGCCTGAATGATTCGATACAATTTTCATCCCATGAATTGCAGATAGCTTGGGCTGAGTTCTGAGTTATTAAAAACCCTGGTGTTCTTCATCCTTTCAGAGGAACTGTATGCAAACCAAAGGAGAGGAATCCTGGGCTGTTGACTTGGTAGAATTTCCTCTTCCTTTGTAATGCATTTTACATTCCCAAACTTATGCCTCATTTACAGATAAACAGCAGCTTATGAACAATATGTCTCTAATTTTCAGCTAGAAGTCCACATCTGTTTATTTCACAGGCTTTTATCTATTTCTCTTGCTCCTGGAAGTAATGGAGGAAACCTAGGAGTACAGCAGTTGTGAAATTCACTGGGGGATGCTTCTGACTGCAAGCCTCTGTGTTTAGAATATGAATGAATTGCACAGGGAATTAAAAGAGGTGCTAGAAGCAGATTTGTGACAGGAGGAGAGACTTTAGTTTATTATAAGAGGCAAACAAAAGTAAACCATATAGATTTCTAATCCATTTTTCTCCCTCTTTTTCTGAAGTGCCCAATATCAGCCTGGATGTTTTGAAGCCCTCTTTTGCAGAAATTCTGCTAGAATCCCACATGGTTATGATCCGGGTAAGATATTGTTAATTCCAGGTAATAATTTTCTTCCTCATTTCTCTTGCATCAAAAAGTAGTGGTGTTTTCTGAGGTATCTGGGTGATGGCTGCAAGCTAGGGCAGAATTTATGTGCCCCAGCAACCTACTTGAATTTATACTTAGAAAAAGGGGTGGTCTTGAAGCTAAATCTTCCAAAGGTTTGGGAGCCTTGGGCTTGATGCCTGGCTCTGCTGGTGGTGTGATCTACCTACAGCTTAATTATGTCATCCCTCCAGTGCTGAAATTCAGTTCTATAAAGGAGAGTTTACCTTACTGGAGGGTTTTAAAATTAATATTTGTGAGGCGTGAGGACGTTAGTGTGGTCAGAGTCAGGAAAAGTAGCTAAACAGACAAAGAGGAAAGCAATAAATATTTGGGTTGAAAATGGAAAACTTCTGCATTTTTTAAAAGTTCATCGAGGTGCTGTGTTTTCTGCTTTCCTCTTCCTAATTTACCTCTGAATCTATATTAAAAAAAAGCGCTGGATTTAATATTTCCAAGGTGGATTACTCTTGTGGTCTTTCCCCATGATTGTTCTTTGTGCTCTTGGCCACAGCCCTTCTGCTTCCAGCTCTTCAATCCCTGTCTGAAGAATGAGAAGTTAATTTTTTGAGAAAGGAGTCTAAGGTTTTATTTGCTACTGTTTGTAAAGCTCTTCTCAGATTCTTAAAAGAAAGAAGGTAGTCAAGCAAATCATTATTAATGCTAAGCATTTCCATGGCAACCAGTGATAATGTTGTCTCAGGTAAAGAAGCACCTGCCTAAGTTGCCATGGAAATAATCTTTCCGAGGTGTTTATTTCAGACTGGAGGGAAACCTGTTGAAGTAGTCTCTTAATGAACAAAGGTCTTGCTTATGCAACATGTATCCTCAGTGACAGAAAAGCTGGCAAAGAGAAATGAGAAAATACTGCCTCTAATGGTACCCAAAGAACATTTTCACCTGCACAGTAATATTAAAAGAGTAATTGTCCTCATGGTGGCCACTTCCAGAAGATGATGTGTTTATGTACTCAGAAACCAGCCTTTGCTCAAGAAGAGTATTCATGTATGTTTGTGTACCCAGACATTTCTGGGCAGGCTTTGCAGCATAACTGCCTGCTCATTTACATTTTATCTTGACCTACCTGCAGGGAAACAGTGGCCTCAAACCAAAGGACAATGAAGTTACATCCAAACCTTGGCACTGGCCCATCAACTACCAGGTATATTGATCAATCCACCTTCCTTTCACTTTTCAAGTGCTTTTGTTGTGCTGCTTGAAGCATAGCACCTCTTAATTGCATTGAAGATGTTGTCAGCTTTGTTTTATAGCTCCCGGGCTGCATGGATGGGAATTTGTCTCACCTTTGACACTGTGCAAGATACGAACTGAATTGATGCAAACCCATTTTACTCTCTCCTGCTCTGTTTCCCCAGGGCCTGCGTTTTTCTGGTGTCAATGAGACTGATTACCGGGTTTATTTGCTGGGAAACCCGGTAAGTTGGAGTGGGAGGTTCCAAGCCGATGTCTTTAGCAAATTTTAGCTTACTCTTGATTCTACCAGCAACAATGATCCTCTTGTTCCTCCTGCTTTTGAACCGTCTCCCTCGTACTCTTGTACTTGCATGTAGCTTTTCATTTCCTCTCATATACACATTCCTTTGTCCAGCCTAAAGTCCCAAATCTTTCTTTTTTTTTCCTATTTAGGTGATTTGGTGGCTAAATCTGGTCACTATTGGATTATATCTTCTGATAGCAGTTTCCACTGCAGTGACTCTGAAGAGAGGTGTCCAGCTGACATCTGAACTCAAAGGTGAGGTCAGTCTTCATATCCCTCCTGCACTGTAGAATCCCTACTGTAACATCCTGGTTTCCTGATACAGGAAAGCTCATCTTGGATTCCTGTATTAAAAAAAAATATCTTTTTTTAATATTGTATTAAAATCGTGGCAGTTGAACAAAATACACACAAGGCAGCTGTATGTACAAAATGCTAAGCTATATAGTGCTTTGAAAGTGTAGCACTGAACAACGTGACTGTTTAGAAAGGGTTCCGTACTAGAAATAATCACTCTTACAAATAAATCTCACTTTTTGCATGGAAGACCATTTCTGATGAGCTGTCAAATTTCTTAAGCTTGTAAAACCTCAAGTCGGCAGGGGCCCCAAGACACCTACTTAGCCACAGAGAAGAGCTCTGGAAGTGACTCACAGGCAGGAGATGTGATCAGTGGCTCCTCAAAAGTCTTACCAATCTTTTGTTGGAGAGTACAGAGCTGGACTGGGTATAAGCTGGCATCTTAAGGTGTGAGTCTCAGTAGGCTTTTGCTGCCTTGTCTCCTGCAAGAAAACAGGGGCTTGGATTAGTCTGTAACTCACATGGCAGCTCTGCTCTGCAGGTGAACACCCAGCCTAGCATTGGAGCTGCTTATGAACTGCTCAAGAGTCAAGATGTTGGCCACACTTGCTGTCAGTTACATTGACTACTGCAGCTCAGAAATGACCAGCTGCATATCTGTTGGAAAGACTTATATTTGAGCTGGACATTACAGTAAGAGAAGGTGGTAAAAGGCATATCAGAGAAACCTTCCTGATCTAGACATCTGCTGGTCCCGTGGTTTTTAGCTTGTTTTGCTTTGCAGATTTCCAATATATTTTTTCTAGTAAAGATACTGACCCCACATAGATTACTGATAATAGGATTCCTTTTCACAAATGCCTTTGCGGACACCTTAAAAGTGTGTGGATGGCAGGACTTGGTGTGCCAAGGGTGGAAAACCACTGAGCTTAGGTTATGGAGCAACGTCCATAAAGAAAAGAGTGGGAGCTTCATATCTCAAATAGTTTAATAGTGACCAGGACGGATCTTCAGCAAAAATTCTGCAAGGGGCTACCTGTTTTGGTTGTAGGAGACAGACCAGTTGGATCAATGTCCTGCTCTCAAGCTCTGCATGTGTTCTGTTCTACAGTAGTGTGCATGGTGTTTTGAAATGAGAAAGGTTTCCTGATATTTATGAAAGCAAATGGCAAATGCAAGAGATGCAATGATCTTTTCTTATGTCCAACACCAACGTTGTAGAGTTTTTCACAAACCCTAATAGGTCACACTTTGACCATTCCAGTTTGCATCAATGGTTGCTTCATTTTGTAGATCTCTTTGTGGGAAGTGAATTCTAAAATGTGATGTCAAACTATTCAGTTACACAATAAATTATTGGCTAAGCTGCATGTAGACACCAGAGCTCTCAGTCCTTTCCACAGGCTCTGGAAGCTAGACAACATTTCTTTCCAGGAAAGGCTGGCAAAGTGATCATCTTGATGGCTTGTAGTCTCATTGCAGAGGGAATAAAAAAAATATCAGAAACTGAAATGACATAATTAGTCTGATGTGTGTCCTCAGAAACGGCAAGCTCGGTCGGTCTTAACACAGAGCATGGTCAACCTCCTGCCTGTCCCTTGAGACTTATGCCTTTGTGTATTTTTCCTGATAACTGTTCTCCTGAAAAGTGTTTGTATGTTTGAGGAATGCAGCTAGGATGTTGCAGAGGCTTGGAACGATTTCAGACCAGTACGTGACTTCCCGCAAAGATCATTCCTGTTAAGTTTACTTACTGTGATAAGGCTTGCAAATAGGAACTGCAGTTGAGTTTTTCTCTGCTGAAGTGTGTTTATTTGTGTTCCAGAACTGTCCAGAGTTGTGCTACATGGTGGAGGGCAGATCATGCTGGGCTGGCTCCTTCATTACCTCCCTTTTTTTATGATGAGCCGAGTTCTCTACTTTCACCACTACTTTCCTGCCATGCTTTTTTCCAGCATGTTGACAGGTAAAATACTAGAGTCTGGGAGAAGACAATTCTGTTAAATGGAATGTTTTCAGAATAAACAGTATTATTATTTTAATAGGTTTTTCTGCTTGCTCATGCAAAGTGCTTGAAAATATTGACTAATTCAAAATGTTTTTCACCAAGCAGCTTGCAATGCCAAATTGGTTTTTTTTGTTTGGTTTTTTTTGTTTGGTTTTTTTTGTTTGGTTTTTTTTGTTTGGTTTTTTTTGTTTGGTTTTTTTTGTTTGGTTTTTTTGTTACCACCCTGAAGAGGCAGTCATGTCCTAGGGCATTTAAATTTAGAGACAGGATTCCTATTCTCTGCTGTGTCACTGTTCTTACGTATGCTATTATACAAGTTACTTCCCTTTGTTCTCTGCCCCCTCTTTTCTGTCATGTCTGTTCGTAATTCAGTCTTGGTAGTTTTTCCTGTTACTTTGTACCAATTTAGCATGCTGGGGGCCCCTATCTCTTTTGCATTTATTCAAATGGAAAGGTAGGAAAAAAAAGAACATTCTGAACATATGGCCGAATGTAGCAGCTCTGTTCTTTGGCCTCCGCATTGCTCCTGACTTCTGATTCTTCCTTCTCCTAGGAATCACCTGGGACACACTACTGAAGTTCTGCGCTGGGTTCTTGTCACCCAGCACTACAGCTAGAAAAGTATATGGAGGGGGGTTCCTGGCACTTGTTCTGCTCATCGTATACAGGTGAGTGCTGAAAGCTGAACTTTTCCTGAATGTGACAGCCACCGTCTCAATTGAAACGTGGCAGTTAATTATTCTTTGCCTTAGTCTCTGCCTCCCTTCTCTGCCGAACTTGTCAGACCTCATCAAGCCCAATTCTAAACCCTCAAATTTTATTAGATTCAGCATCTGTGTCCTAGTGATGCGTTATAAAACATTAAAACAACTTCCCATTGCAGGGAATCTTTCTTTAATCCCAGCACTCAGTGCGAACACTCTATTCTCCTCCAGACCCGCATCTCAGTGATTTCTGATTCTGGACTTCATGTCAGATGGTGCCACGTCCCTCAGATACAGGCAAATTCTTTATTGCTATAGGCTGTCCCAGCTGGCTTTTCTCCAAAGCTGAAGCTTTCTAAGAGAAAATGCCACCTATGCTAAAACTGTGTACTATGTATATATTGTCTTCAACCAATATTGGAAGGTCCCCAGTGGATCTTAGACCAGCACAAAACCAGAAGTCCCATAGGACATCTGTATAGACTAATGTGCTGCAATGTTTTTGAGATGGAAAACTGTTCAGTCCCTGATAGGCATTTGGTTTCTTTCCACAGCTTCTACCTCTTCCATCCTCTGTCCTATGGAATGATAGGACCCATGGCTTCCGACCCCAGCAGCCCCATGGCTGGGCTCCGGTGGATGGACTCCTGGGAGTTCTAGAGCCAGCAAAGGGAACCTGGGAACAGTGGATGAGAAGCATGAGATCTGCTGCATATCAGGCTGATTCCGGTGCTTTGGAGACATGTAACTGTAAAATGCCCTCTCTGGAGAGCTCTGGGTATAGTAACCCTGTTACTTTGGCATTTGTTTGCACTGCCTGCATTGGAAGATGCAGAGGATGACCGTGACAAGGTCCTCTTAAAAAGACTAATGTCCTGAATCCTTAGGTTGTATTCCTGGACAACTGACTGCTTAAATCTCAGTTCTTTTGAGCAATATGTATCAAACAGCAGTGGCATTCCAGCAGTTAGATCAGTACAAGTTGGAGGCTGTGTGTATGCACGTTTGTGTGTGTGTCTTCCTTCTGGTAATGTAAGCACCACTGCAGTCCCCAAGCCTCACAGTCTGAGACATTAGGACTTTTATCATGATTAACAACCTTTCTTATGGCAAGGTTTTTGAAAGTTTCATGTAAGTATCTGGGGACCTCCATTCTGTCCTGCTATGGCTGTCTGTGGTTTTTTGTTCTGACACTGAATTTTTAGAATTTGACAGAAAGGGGACTGCTTGAAATCACCTGAGCCGCTGTGCCTTGCCTGTCTCCCAGGCCCTCTGCAGATAGAGGAGATCGAAATATTTTCTCTTTTTTTTTTTTTTTTTTTTTTACACTGTCTTGCTTTCTGGTCGCCTTTAATCTTTTATCACAACCACCTAGCAGGCCTGCGTTCAGAGCCAGACTGTTCCAGCTCAGCACTTTGTAGCTTTTTTGCAGTTCTATCTGAAACTGCTAAGGATATTACAGTGGAAATAGCAGGCAATTTATCTTCTGCCCAGCATGCTGTGAAGACCGGTGTCTTGGGGTGTACTAGAGACTGAAATGATAGCTTGGGAATTTTAGACAGCTGTCATTCATGTTTTGATCCCAGCTATTCCAGTGCCAGTACTTCTGCTTTTAGGGGGAAGGCTTCATCTTAATGTGGCATCTGCAAAACTGGCTGTCAGTGCCATGGTATCTGTGTGCTGTATTCCAGCAAGTTCCCTCTCAGAGATGGCTGATTGTCAAATTGCTGCATTGAAGAAAATGTGAGGCCAGGCAAGAATTCTTTGTCTGTTAAGTGTCGAGAGCGATTGGATGTTGAATCCACCCCTTCCAAGAAAGCAGAAAGCTATTTCTTAGGTGCCTTTGTCCTGTGTTAGGTCTATTTTTGTAAATGTTCCTTTTATTCCATCTTCTACTCTTCACCTGACTACAATTTCTTGTCACAGTTCAAGGTTGCTACCTTGTAGCATCCAACATGAATGGCACTTAGACCCCAGTTGTGTTCCTGTCTCAAGAAGTAATATTTGCAAAACTCTTTTGTGTATGTTTCAAGGAACTCAAGCCTTTTATTTCAGAGTTCTTGCTCTACTTCCCAGCCTTGCATCAAAATTACAGATACAGGGAGAGCAGCAGCTGAGTGTGTCTGTTTTTAAACACAATTCCTGCATTTCTCTTACCAAGCCTTGAATTCTAATGTATTTCCTACAACACAGAAGGGCTGTGTTAGCATCACTGTTCTTGGGGGGGGATTGAGGCTCTGGTCAGACCTGCTTTCATTCCTCTTTAATGGAGATCCATGGCATTGTTCATAAGGCAGCTGCTTGCTATTGTGAGGCTCTGGCTTGATGTGTCACATCTCTCTCCAGAAGTTGACTCCCATAGACACTAACTCAGACGGTGTGGACCTATGCTTTTGATTCTAAAGGCTTTGAGTTAATCCCCTGCTGGTAATACATGGTGGGAAGTCATTGTGCTAATTAGCTACTGGGTTTGATGGTGCTTTTCCACTTGCTGTTGCAGGAAGCGCTCCCGCCTGCATGAGCCAGGGGTTCGCAGAGGTGAGAGATAGGCGAGAAGGACGAGGGAGAAGGCTGCAAACTTCTTCAGATCCTGCTTGATCTGACAGCAGCTGTGAACTGGTAACTGTTGGCACCACGGCAGGCAGACAGTGCAGTGCTGCCTTTGCAGCAATGCCATTCAGCACCACCTACTCCTGGTGAGATTATCGGCTTAATACCTTGCTATCCTGAATAGGAGCTTTCCCTGAGGTAGTCCTATTGCCACGGGGAGGATTTGCCAGAAGAGCTGATATAAGCTGTGATTTAAAGCGTAGGGTTTTTTCCCAGCACATATAATCACACACTTGACCTCTAACACAGAAAGAACAGCAAAGAGAACTTAGAAACTTGTGAGTGTTTTGGAATTACAGTTTCTAATGCTCCGTATTCATCAAATTAAATCTGTGAGAAAGTAGAGATCGCCTCGGTAACCTTGGTTACTTCAGTTATTGTGAAGGGGTCAGCTTTGTAGGAGCTGCCTGTGGAAGATGAGCCAGTTTGTTCCTTGGCCAGGGTCCCAGGATACTTTATGATCTTTTGGGTGAGAATTGGCAGCTGAATTTGGGGATCAGCCAGCTGAAGGTGGCCAATTTTGTGCTCACAACCCACCTTCCTGTGCACAAGCTGAGCTTCTGTTTCAATATAGACAAAAGTTTATTTTTATTTTTTTTTAGGACTGCCATTTCAGAAATCCTCTGAGAGCATTTGATTGATGTTGAGACCGATGTACTTGTTAAGGCCTTTTGTGCTAAGGGGGTGGAGGCCTACAGTGAAAAAAATCTAGCTGTTCCACAAGAGGGAGCCACCTCCAGTAGAATCTTTCTTTTTTTCCTTTTTTTTTTACTTTTTTTCTTTAAAATCTGGAGTTAGAAGTATTAAAAGGTCTGCATTTGAAGACTAGAGTGCCCACGTTACCTCTGCACCCTCTGGACTCCAAGTGGATTTTCAAGTGAGTGTAAATAGATGTTGCTTTGTTTTCTTCCAGAAGAAAAATACTGAAAAATTACTTTAGTTAGTATTTGACCTTCAGTATTTGCCTCTCCAAACAAAACCTCTGGGCCGTAGCTGGAGCATAACAGTAACCAGTATTTTGTTAGTCCAATAAAATGCAATAATTGGGATTTCCTCACTGACTGACTTAAAATGTCTGAGTGGTGCAGGCGTGAGGCAATGGGTGCAGGGCACTCCTTGCTTTCTGAATGGAATTTGGGCTGCTTCAGTTCAGTTTCTACATTTGTGTTTGTGGAATGAGTTCAGGTTCATTTTGATGACTGCTTATTAGTCCTCATTGCATTAAAGGGTAAAAGAATCTGGCAGAAAATAAACTCCCTTGTGTTCCAGCTTGTGCTCAGATTCCAGAGGGGCTGGGGGCGGCTGGGCTTGGATCCTGAGTGATACCCAATATAGGCACTATAGGTCCAGTCACATTTGATGTATTGAACTACGAGTTCAAAACTCGACTGGTCCCACCATGTTGTGTGGCTAACAGGGCTGCTCCAAGTTCCCTTACCTGCGCATTACCTTCTCCTGTCTCGGTCCTCTTTCTCCTGTTGCCACTTCCAGTGCTACAGCCTTGTATTTCCACTCATCGTTCTCCCCATGAGATGATGCTTCAGTAAACCAGGCCCCCGTGAGATCACTGTCTTCCTGCAGAGGACGTGCTTCTTGAATGGGAGATGGTTTGCTCGGTGCAGGTTGGAACAACAGGGTACTGTCTGTGTCCTTCTGCAATTTAGACATTTTAACATTACCCTTGGTAGTTGGCGTAATTTTATTAATGTCTTCTAGATATGCATACCACTTAAGATCTGTGGGGTTTTGGGCAATGCCAGCTGGCAGTGCCTTGTCTTTACGGACTACATCCAGGAGACGGAAAGGTCTCCAAATGATCACGGTTCTCTTCTCTCCTTATTCGTTCTGCCTGTTGTACTGCTCTCACTAGGGACAGTAAACCTTTTTCCAAATCTGAGTATCATCTCATTTTGGTATTGCTGAAATAGTGGAAACTAAATTCCAGAGGTCTCTCTAGCCCTTCTGGCCTCTTTTGCCATAGGCTGCAATGAGAACCATGCTCATTAAATCCCCATTGTACGTTATAGGGTCAGTCGGGTGTATAGGACCAAGCTGTTGGAATAGCCTTAGTTCCTTCATTAATGATTCTAGTGCATTTATGTGCTGTCTAGTCCATTCCTGTGATTTTCCTTTTTTGAGCAAATAATGGAAAAAACAGGAATATGTTTGCACCAATAACTTAAGGCTCCTAAAACTTGATGTAACTCCTTTACACTAGATGGACTTTGTCCGTGTTCTGTTTTCTCTAGGGTGTCCTGGGGCATAGAGGCAGCTCCTTTTAACCCACCAGATTCCCAGGAATTTAATCTCCTGCACTGGTCCCTGATATTTTGAGTCTGGAATTTCCAATCCTAATTCCATTAGTGTTCCTCGAATATTTTCCATTCTGTCTTTTGCACTTTCTTGGTTTTCCCCCTATCAGGATGTCATCAATATGCTGGTATACTGACTGTCAGCTGGAACAGGAGTCTCCACGAAAGCCTTAGCCAAAGTGTTGTGAGTAATAGTGGGGGAATGTTTAGATCCTTGCAGGAGCCTGTTAAAAGTATACTGGATCCCCCTCCACATAAAAGCAAACTGCGCTTTATTGTGCTCAAGGAGAGGAATCATGAAAAACATGTTTTTAACAGCCAAGGCAGCCATCCAGGGATGAGCAGCTCCCTGCATTAATGTTACTATCTCAGCAGTGTTTGGAACTGCAGCAGTTAAAGGTACAGTGTTAGCATTTAACTGTCGATAATCCACTGTGAAACGCCATTGCCATGTTGGTTTCTTTACTGGCCATGCTAGTGAATTGTAAAGCGAATGAGTCCTTTTAATGATATCTCTTTTTTTTTATATTTTAGAGGGGGGTAAGGGTATGGATGTTTCTAATAGTCTCAATTTCATTGTGCCTTTTTATCCCTTGCAAAACTCCGCGCTTTTCCATCTGGGAGTTTCCACATTTGTCCCCACAGTATATCAAATCCTAGAACGTCAGTGTTTGTGGCACCAACTAATACCTCTGCTCTGGTTAATCTCTGCTCCCCTGGCAACCAGAGAGTTACTTCTGCAGCAGAGCATTCCTTCACTGCTCCCTCAGTCCCTGTGACTTTAACCCTGCCTTGGCCAGGCTTTATGCTGAGGGTTTGTGCTGTTTCTTTAGGTATTACTGACATTTGGGCCCAGTATCAATTAGAAAATTTATGAATATTTTCCAGGGTCCAATGGGAATGATAATAGTAGGTTCAGAGCATTTATGACAGACCCGTTGAGTTGCTAGTCCCCGCTGGGCTGGGGGGCTCACTGTCTCCCCTGGGGATATAGTTTTTTTGCTAAGCACCAACTACATTTATCCCACAGTCCTCCTCCCCAGTCGTGGAAAATAGCTAACGGTGCTTTCTGAGGCCAGAAGATGCTGTTCTCTGGAGCAGCTGCTCCCTTTGAACTTTGCTTGACAAGGCTCCTTTTATCACTGGCAAAGTATTTTGATCAAACTGTATCCGTGGATTCAAATCACAAAAAGCTGCAGGCTGCCACGTTCCCTGCTTCAAATTCTTTTTTATGTGTAAACTCTATTTTCACCTCCTCAGTCTTTGGAGGACAGATAGAAGGCCTCTAGGCTCATCTGCCTTCATCCTAGACACTCCATCCATCTTAAAAGGTTTCTGTTAACAGTCTCT